AAACACAGGTTTGTTTACATTCTTTCTACTCATGGAGAAAATGGGGAAAACATTACTTTTAAGTTGGTTGAAAACATTAACTGACAAAACACTTCAGAAAAACGTGAATTAGGCAGCTAAGAAAGCATGCTCTGTTCATTACTTTAAAAAAATAGATACAGCCTTATTAACTCCACAGTGTAACAGTTGTCAGAGTCAACATTTAGGTAGATATAAATAAAATAATTAAATGGTAGGGTAAATAGCTTTCAGAGCATACACATAGCTTTTTCCTAAAAGAATTGTTCTGGCAACTTTGTTAAAAACCAATTGACCAGAACTACGGGTGTATTTCTGGACTTTCTTTGCCTGTTTCCCATACTCGGAGTGGCACTGCCTCTCCCTGACGTTCCTCCAACCCCTGCCCCCTCGCTCCCCCACCTGATCTTTCCCTCTGCACACTCAGAGTGGCACTGCATGTCAGTCCTCTCCCTGCTGTTCCTCCAAACCCCCTTCTTGCTCCAACAGGCTCCCTTGCCTCCCAGAACTCCTCAAGAGCAGGCTCCCTTCATGGTTTACAACTGGAAAAGTCAAAATCCTTCTTTCTCAGAAAAACCTCAGGGCCTCATCTCCCTCCTGGAGACTGTTTTCTTTGCCCACCAGCCTACATGGGATGATTATCAGCAGCTCCAGCAGACTCTCTTCACGTCAGAAGAACGCAAGTGGATCCAGAGGGAAGCCCTGGAAACTGTTCCTGGTCATGATGGCTGACCCCTGATGACTCTGTTCACTTCAAATGCGTGTTCCCCTCTAACAGACCCAGGTGGTACCCAAACACGGACTTAGGTAAGGGGGCTCTTGACCTGTATCACCAGACTCTCCTTAGGGGACTCCTCACAGCAGCCTAGGAGCCCACTAACCTATCAAAAGTAAGTGAAACTATTCAGGGACCAAACGAAACCCCTGCCACTTTCCTGGAACATCTTATGGAGGCTTACAGGACCTACACTCCTGCGGACCTTGAGACCCCAGAAAACCGGTGAGCGATAAATATTGCCTTTGTTACCCAGTCAGCCCCAGACATTAGGAGAAAGCTTCAAAGACAGGAAGGACTTAAAGGAAAATTGTTATCTCAGCTGGTTGAAATTGCCCAGAGGGTCTTTAATGACAGAGATAGTCCAGAAGAGAAACAAACCAAAAAACTAGATCTTAAGGATGTCTTCTTCAGCTTACCACTGGCCAAAGTGAGCCAACCTCTCTTTGCCTTTGAATGGACTGACCCTAGGGGAGGATATTCTGGACAATTAACTTGAACTCACCTCCCCCAAGGACTTAAAAATTCCCCAACCTTATTTGATGAAGCCCTGCAGCCTGTTTGTTGCCGAGATGTAAGGCATTGCCAAGGGGGTGCTCACCCAAGCCCTGGAACCATGGAAGAGGCCTATCACCTACCTCTCCAAGAGGTTGAACAGTATAGCCGCAGGATGGCCAACCTGTCTCTGAGCCATAGCGGCAACTGCTTTACTAGTAAAAGAGGCCAACAAGACATATGCTTAGTGGCCCCCTGCTCTGTACAGACTCTCTTACAAAATGTACCTGAACATTGGCTCACCAACTCCCACTTCACCCAGTACCAGCTTTACTTCTAGATCAGCCCCTAAAAACCATGGCTCTAAATCCAGCTACCCTCTTCCCGGATGACAACCCAACTGAGCCTGCCCATGACTGCCTCGAAACAATCAAGACTCTCCAAGGCCTCTGGCCAGACCTGACTGATGTGCCCTGGACAGAGACTAATGAAATGCTGTTCACTGATGGAAGCAGTTTCATCTCCAGTGGAATCAGGTATGCTGGGACAGCCATGGTAACTTTAGATCGGGTCATTTGAGCTCAAGCCTTAAGCCAAAGAACATATGCTCAAAAGGTTGAACTCATAGCCCTAACACAGGCTTTAAAGCATGGAAAAGATAAAACTGTTAACATACATACTGACAACAGATATGCTTTTGCCACTGCCCATGTTCACAGGGCCTCCTTATACAAATGGAAAGGACTATTAACATCAGAAAGTAAGTAAATAAATAAATAATAAAGCAAAAGCACTAGCCCTCCTTGAGGCCATATGGTATCCATGGCCATCATACATTGTCCAGGGCACCAGAAAGGTAACTCATTTGAGACCCAAGGCAATGCTGCTACAGATTTGACTGCCAAAGAGGCCACATTCAAACCAGTGTGGCCAGCACCTCAATTGCTGCCGACTCCCCATTATGCCAAAGAAGAAGTAAAACACGCTAAGATCTTAAAAGCCTTCCAGCAATGCCACGAATTAGAAAATTCTGCCAGACCACAGGATTTATTTGCCACACGCTCTAGGCAGATTGCTGATTAAACAGATACATCAAGGAACACACCTTGGATCCACAAAATTAACTGAACTTTTAAAAAATATTATTACATCCAAGATCTTGACAAAATAACAAAAGACATTGTTACCAGATCACAAGTAAATCCAGGGCCAAAATCAAGGCTGCCCATTGGAACCAGAACGCAAGGAACCAACCCTGGAGAACACTGGGAAATTGACTTCACCGAAGTAAAACCCGGACAATATGGGTATCACTACCTTTTGGTGTTCACAGACAGTTTTTCTGGATGGGTAGAAGAAACCACTCAGCTAACACTAAAAAATTGTTACAAGAAATTGTCCCCAGATTCCGCCTACCTGTAACCTTGGGGGTCTGACAATGGCCCAGCCTTCACAGCCCAAATTTCCCTATTATTAGCTA